GGGTACATTGCATGGGGCACACTACTTGGGACAGACCACAGGTTACATTGCATGGGGCACACTACACGGTACAGACCGTAGGGCACATTACATGAGGAACACCACATGGGACAGAACACAGGGCACATTACATTGGGCACACAGCAGGGCACATTACATGGGTTGCACTACATGTTACAGACTGCAGAGCATAGTGTGGGGGACACAGCTGGGTACACTACTGTACCGGCTTCCTTCTTATGCAGAAGCTGCTGTTCAGTCCTCTGTAGCGCCCCATAGCCTATACTATCCAAGCCGCTTCTTTGCCTATCTCTTCATGTGTCGGCAGAAGGGATGGGATCTACCTGTCAGTTGCCTGCAGATTCTGTGGAACCCTGGGGACCACTGACAGAATCCTGGTTGAGAAACACTGGGTTAGAGGATAAAACTGTAATACTCACCTTGTTTCTTGCTCTGGCAGGATTGGTGCTCTCCACTTCTCCTTGGTGCTCCAGGCCCACACACAATGCAGGCAATGCATTTTGCTTGAGGATGTCATTTTGCAACAGCTGGCTAAAGTGTCTTCGAGAAGAGTGCAGGGGGGACTAGTTGCACAAATGGAGGGAATCTGCTGGAGTGAGGAATAAGGTACTTCAGTTTATTCCTCTACCCCTTGGATTTATTGAGAGTTTAATCTTTGCAGGGAAGGGGGAAGGGCACTACAAAGGTACTTTTTGTATAATTCCTGGAGTTAGGCCTTGAATTGTTGCGCTCACATGTTTTTAAAGGGCACATTACTCTGTACAAAGTCATCTTGTATTATGTTTATTACTAACAGATTATTATTGAACAGTCCAGCCACTGCATATTTCAGTAACACAAAACTCAAAAAATGCCCAAGGGACTTTAAGACACACCAAGAATGAATAAAAGTCTTTACATTTTATTGAAAATGAACATAGTGAAAAAAAGCTCAGACAGAATCTAAAACCTTCATACAAATACATAGCAGTACCAGTCAGGGCTGGGAGGAATGACAAATGTGATCCCACGCACCACAATCCGCCAACATCAGAAGGAAGTGTCAAAGGAACCAGGATGCCAGCTGGGGGACACAAACAGAACACCCACGTTCCCAGGGGCTGGCGAAACAAAAAACCAAGTGGGATCGCAACTCTCGGAACAGGGACAGATGGAAACTGGGAAATAATGACAGTTAGGTGTTTGGCTGTCATCCCTGGAATTCGGCAGCGATGGTGGGGGGTTTCTTTACCTTCCTCCCATGCTGAGTGCACAGGACCGATCACCGTTTGTTGGCCTCATCAGGTCTGCTTCCCTTGGGATTGAAGGCAGGCATTTTGATCCATTGCCCACTGCCTGCTGTCGATCACAAGTAGAGAGTGGACCTAGTAGAGGCAAACATGTCACTCTGTTACAATGCATACAGAGACATCCAGCCTCCCTTCTTCTGAACCATACCAGGCCACATGTTCCAAACATGGGGAGGGTACCTTGCTGGGGAAAAGAACCTTGTCTCAATGCTGTTGGGGACAAAGACCTCTTTCCCACATCTTTGGATTGTGGATGTCTGGTTCAGTAAATGACAGGGGCGTCATATTGGAATTTAGGAGCCCTCTTTAAAATTAGAATGTGGTGATGAATATGGCTGTATTGGTGCCTTTTTGATCTGCGTGGAGTTGAGCTGTAAGGGGTTGCCTTTATTTCTGATCTAGTTTTCCAGGCTTTGTAGTCTGTTTTGCTGATGCGTTTTCCTGCACTGTCCTATAAATTCTAATCTGTGAGACGGTTCTGTGTGGGAACATTTCTTGCCTACAGTAGATGCTATGCTGATTGATCTGATAACCAACAGCAGCAGCGACTCCATTCAGGAAACTCCCCTCTACAACAGTAATAACATATCACCGCTGAGGCCAGGCGCAAACAAAACCACTTCTTTCCAAATGTGGAGTGGAGTTTAGGGCGTTTGCTGGGGATGAGCTGGGTATTCCATTTTGTTTGCCAGGAATCAAAGTTCTGATGTGTCCCCTCTGTTATGGGATCTGGAGTATACATACAATCCTTTCATAGTTTTGTGAACTACTTATGATTATCACATGTTGCTTTCATTAAAGAGCCACAAAATTAGTAATCTTGGAGTCACAGTAAACCAGCAATACAAGGAGACATGAAATACATGTTCATTAGCAGCCCAAGTGAGCAGAGCTGTTGTCACCAGCAATGAGACCGAAAAAGGGATCAAAGGTATACACTAACATACGTTTTAGGTACACATTACAATTATGGGGATTTGATCTCAAAGGGGACCTGTACTCGAATTTGTAGCTCCTATCAAAACTTTTCTCATTTTGGGACATAGTGGGGAAGGACAGCAATAAAAAAAATACTGAGGTCTGTTATTCCCCAACACCACCAAAAAGTGTTTTTATTCCTGCTGTGCCCTTGCTGGACGTGTATTATTATGCCAGTTCTTCTCAACTTCGCAATAAAACTTAATTTTTGTTTGTTGTAGAGAGAGTTTCGAGGAAAACCCATACTGAGAGAGGCTGCAATTGTTGACAGAAATTGCTATCTGCTTGGCTTCATGCTGATCCGGTGTCTTTAGAATGTTCTTATTTAATACATACACCAAATTACAATAACCATAGCAACCATTTAGAAAGTGAATTCTGATTGGTTGTCTCCCTTTGTGCTTTTACAACCTGGACTGCTTATTTAATAACCCCGCAGGTGTTGAAACTACCTTTCCTGGCATCAGATATGCTAGGGATGGACAGAGATATGCCAGGAATAGATCCAGATGCCTACAGCTAAACACACACCTTTTTATATTTTTTGCTTGATGCATGTTCCATTGAAATCGGTGGAAAAGCATCAAAATGCATGTCAGTTCTTGCGTCAAGGTATGTATCCATGCTGGACATGATGCACATACACACATCATGATGCACATCATGACATCTCATAATTTTTCAATGCAGTGCATTGCAACACATGTTAAGGCATGTCAATGTGCATTGACGTGTTTTTTTTTTGTATAATCTTTTTATTGACGTTTTTCAAGTACAGAAATGATTGGAGACACAAAAATGATATTTGTCATTTCTGCAAAATCAGAAACAGTACTTAGTACAGCACTGGTGGAATTCACAATCACAGTAGTTGAGAAGAGCAGAGTGCACTGTATGCTTTGTGCCTGAAGTATTCATTGGGGAACAAACAGTCCAAGAAAATATTGGAAGTGCAAACCTATTCACCATGAAATAGGGATAGAGAATTTAAAAGTAGACCAAAATGGGTACAACCAACTTGTCTTATTAGTACGACCCCCGCTGTACTGCCCCACTTGTATTGGGTGGCAAAGCTATGAGGTACCTCCCCGTTGTTACTGGCAATCAAGATGTGCCAACTGAGTCACATCAGGGAGACAGCTAGTGGATCAGCTAAACTAGAGTGTACCTGTAAAGGATGCTGAGGGAATTAAAAGTCACCTATTCTCCAACCACAGTCTCAGTGGGCTAAATCATAGGCCCCCAGAAAGAGTAGTGAAGAGGGGTAAAAATAAAAAAAAGGAAAACGAAGTTTGTTGGTTCGCTTGGACAAGTTGCTGAAAGGAAGGGTCAGCTAAAGCTATTGAGCCGATATCAGGGCTAGAGGGGGTCGTATCTGACCCATTAGTATACCGCTGACAGGGTGCCCTGGTGGATTCAAAGCGGCCTCTTGTACTCCTGCATGTGGCTAGCCACTCTTTAGCCTCCATAATCTCCGTTACCTTCTTGATCCATTCCCCATGACTTCAAAAGCAAGCCCTCTTCCAATTAATCAGAATCAAATGCTTTGCTGCACTAGGCAGATGAGGGAGAGTGCTACCTTTTGTAGTGTGTTAATGGAATAGTGGGGACATGGAGCAAGAAGTGTCCCCACTATTGTACTCCTGCATGTGGCTAGCCACTCTTTAGCCTCCATAATCTCCGTTACCTTCTTGATCCATTCCCCATGACTTCAAAAGCAAGCCCTCTTCCAATTAATCAGAATCAAATGCTTTGCTGCACTAGGCAGATGAGGGAGAGTGCTACCTTTTGTAGTGTGTTAATGGAATAGTGGGGACATGGAGCAAGAAGTGTGACAGTGAAAGGGGAAGGTCCATCTCTAGAATCTCAGCTATGCGGTCCCGTACATCTTCCCAAAAGGGTCTAATCTTGGGGACATTCCCACCAGATAAACGTGCCCCAATAGCCACAGTCTGTATAGCAAAGATCAATAGAAGAGGGATAAATCTGGGCAAGGGCCTTGGATACTCAATACCACTTGGGTGTTAACATGTTTTTGATGTGTTTCTTTTGAATACAATGAAAAACGCCTTACAGGAAAAAACGCATATATGTGAATCCAGCCTTTGGAATACCTAGAAGATCCTGGCTAGATTCCTAACTAGCTAATGCTTTGATCTTCCAATATATTGTTCTTTTCTAGATACATTATTAATACTGTGTACTGGTGATTGTTAATAAACTGGGGAAGAGACGTTTTAAACACAAAGCTACATATGAAATTGTTGTTCTTTAAATATCTCTGGAAGTTGAGTAGGAGTTTTCTTTTTTTTTTTTTTGTGAGGAGTAGCAACTGTTGTTTATTGCAAATGTTAGAATATGGAAATTCATTTCAGTGGCACTGATTTTATTGCTTAAAGTGGAACTAAACCCTACTATCGTTTTTAGCCAAAAGAAGCTGCCATCTTATCCTCAGTTTGATCCTCAACTGCCATGGTACTGCATGTGATCAATTATGACACCATCCATTTGATGGTTTGACAGTTTGGTTGAGAGCCCAAACAAATGTGACTGCATTCCTGCCACTTGTTGGGAATGTAACTATTTTTGTAAGCTGTTCAATTGATGGGTTTTAGTTCCACTTTAAGGCAGAAATGTTTGCATTTTTTTTCAAATCCAGTGTAGTATTTTCACAACTAAACTAACGGTTTCCTTATATTCTTCTAGAGTTCCATGAATCTTCCCCCAGACAAAGCACGACTTTTGCGACAATACGATAATGAAAAAAAGTGGGACCTCATCTGTGACCAGGTAATGCTTTTTGGGAAAATATCCGACGTGCAAAAAACTGCTTCTTGGAAAGTTTTACTTGTGTGGCCTGAATGTGCCTTGCTCATAGCAATTGTGTCTTCATATCAAATATGCACAGAGCAACCAGACCTTTATCCCAAGACTTGTGCAGTGACTACTATTTAATTCTTGTCAATGTGATAGTATATGATATTTGTACTGAGGTAACCAGTAATGACTTTATTTGGGACTGTTTCCTTAAAAGTCCTAACTTGACCAACCAATGTTTCTGGAAATTGCATGTAGACGGTAAAAGAGGACATTAGTTTTCTCTAGATGTAGTGATGAACAATTGGATAGGATGCACACCTAAATAACAATCTTCCTCTAGTGGTTTTATGAATTTATTATAGGAAGATGAAGGCTTCCTGTTTCCCACTCCTTCCCTACACGCATGCCACATGATTATTTAAAAGTTGTTTTTTTTAAATAAAAATGGGGATTATCAGGTGTCTGCTGATCTTTTGTCCTTTGCAGTGGCTTCGACAGGAACAGTTTGACTTGAGAGCTCTGCTAAAAAACTACAATGCAATGCATAAAACCATTTATTGCTACTGTAGACTTGTACACAGAGCAGCATGATGGGTTCAGAATCTCTCCAAAGCCATTTGAATCAACATATTAGTTTACCTCCTTTTACTCTGTCTTTGCTGTTGCCTGCCTAAGATGGTCAGTAAGAACCTAATATTTTTGCAGGACCAGATTGTCTCCTGGTATTGGCAGCCCATTGTTTCCCTGGTTCTTTTTGAACTGAGTCACAGTTGGGGGAGAGATGGTTGTGGTTTTACATGGGGTAGAGGCACTGATTGGCTTACAGAGGAATCACCCCTGGTCACTGCTAAAACAATTAGGGAAAAAGGGACTGCTGCTGATTATTGGAGCGACCCCAATCCTCCAAGCAGGTAGATTTTAGAGGGGTCTTAGTGATCATTGTGGGTAGGCAGTGCAGCAGTTAGGGGGCATGAGAGAGAAAGTTGTATAATGGGTTTAAAGGGTTTGTTACCCCAACATTTAATATTCCTGATATGTGCCTATTGTACCATGTGCTTATGTTAAAAAGTATCCTGTTCTCTTTTTACTTCTTTCTTTGTGTGAAATACATGGTGATCCTGCCAGTCCTCTGCTTTCCTTTTTCAAACTGACCATGCCAGGAATGGAGGCACAACTCTCTCTGTGTAGTAAATTTTCTGGTTGTGCTGGAAGCTCAGCCTGCCTGTCCTCCAATGATAATTTTTTACCCCCCACCTGCACCCCCCATCTGCACAGCCGTTCACTGGGATGATTGGTGTATTGCTCTTTCTCTGCTTCTTACTGGTGCACCCTCCTGCAGTCTCTACCCCCACCTCTCCAAATCCCTTATGCAGCTGAGAACAGAGGTTATGTGATCACTTATTAAATAAAAAAATATGGTAAATTGAATGGGTTGTTTTATAAGGTGAGGTTTCAAACACATGTATATTAAGGCTACTTTAACTACTTGCCAACTGCAGATAGTCCGAATGACGGCTACACTGTGGCCGGCCAGTTCTGGGAGGGCGTCATATGACGTCCTCCCAGAACGCACTCTCCGGGGGCACGCACCAGGCGATCTCCATAATCACTGTGTCCTACGGACACAGCTGATCACATGATGTGGTAAAAGGCCAATCACAGCGGCATTTTACCAAGTGATTAGCCGTGTCCAATGACACGCTGATCACCGGGAAATGCAATTGCCGGTTCTCAGCTGCACTTTCCTCCCGCTGTCAGAGCGTGAGGAAAGTACTGCCGAGAACCGGCAGTTGTCAGAGCAGGGATCAGCACCAATCATCAGGGCACTGATGATCAGTGCCCTGATGATTGGTGCCCAGCAGTGCCACCCACCAGTTCCGCCCACCTGTGCCCAGCAGTGCGCCCACCTGTGCCACCCAGCAGTGCCACCTACCTGTACCCACCAGTGCCACCCACCTGTGCCCACCAGTGCCACCCACCTGTGCCCATCAGTGCAGCCCAGCAGTGCTGCCAGTCAGTGCCCAGCAGTTGCACCAGTCAATGCCTAGCAGTGCCACCAGTCAGTGCCCAGCAGTGATGCCTATCAGTGCCGCCTATCAGTGCTGTCTATCAGTGCCACCTATCAGTGCCACCTATCCGTGACACCTCATTAGTGCTGCCTATCAGTGCCGCCTATCTGTGCCACCTCATTAGTGCTGCCTATCAGTGCTGCCTATCATTGCCCATCAGTGCTGCCTATCATTGCCCATCAGTGCTGCCTATCAGTGCCCATCAGTGCTGCCTATTAGTGCCCATCAGTGCTGCCTCATCAACGCACATCAGTAAAGGAGAAAAATTACCTGTTTGAAAAATTTTATAATAGAAACAAATACCACCAAAAGAAAGCTCTATTTCTGAGAAAAAAATGATAAAAATTTCATATGGGTACAATCTTGCATGACCGCGCAATTGTCAAAGTGTGACAGCGCTGAAAGCTGAAAATTGGCCTGGTAAAGAAGGGGGTATAAGTGCCCGGTAGGCAACTGGTTAAGAAGATATCACCTTGCCCATTCAGATACACCCACCTGCTGATACTCACCTTTGCTGCTCTTCCCACTGCTTTGTTGTTTTATGGAAGCCTTCGCAAATACCTGGTTGCTTCAGGGAATGTGACCACCTTCTAGGATGGCGTACCTGGGCTTAGTGGCCGTTCACCTGGCCTGAGTGCTATTACATGAAGGAGGGATGACACGTATTAACTCTGTGTAAAGTCTGACCTAATCTGACAGGGTGCCTAAACTGAGTTGGGACTCCTGGCTCTGATGAAGGATGGAGTGGCAGGGAGCACAGGGAAGGAGAGTATAAATTAGTTGGTGTGTGAGCTTTCAAAACAACCTGTCGCTTTGATTGAAAAAAAGGTTTCCTATTTATAGTAAACTAAATTGTCTTGCATACTATAATTTGTATTCTGTTAACCTTTCTTCATCAATCCATATGTTAACCAAATTTTACCTACTATGTTTTTAATTAGGAACGGTTTCAAGTGAAAAACCCCCCGCACACATACATCCAAAAACTACAATCATTCCTAGACCCTGGAGTCACACGAAAGGTAATGCGCTGTAAATGTACATGCTGAATGAGTGTTGCTGTGATGTGAGTCATGCTAAATGATGCTGAAAATGCTAACAAAAGTGGTTTCTAAGAGTAACCACAAATGACCTAATAATCATAAGAGATGCATACTATTCAAGCAGCATCACTATACTATTCAAGCATCACTGTATATGAGCTTTAAGAAGGTAGGCTGAAAAACCTCTGTGTGTTGTAACAACCTCTGACATCTTGGGGCCAGCTCAGTGGATTGCTTTAAAAAAAAAAGCCTGGATTCTTTCTTAGATACACAGAATATAACTGGATACTAACATTTTATAGGTAAAGTTGATCCAGGGAATATCCGATTGCCTCTCGGGGGATCAGGAAGTAATTTTTTCCATGCAGTAGCAAATTGGATCATGCTTTGCTGGTTTTTTTTTGCCTTCCTCTGGATCAACTGTGGGTGCAGGATTATAACTTTTTTTTTTTTTTTTTATTTGGTTGAACTGGATGGACTTTTGTTTTTTTTTTCAGCTTGACTAACTATGATTACACTCAGAGGTCTTTCAAACTCAGTGGTAATGGGGTGTGATTTTTCACCTTTCTATGGTTAAGGGGGTGTGATCACAGTACTGCAAATAAGCTTCTGTCATTGTAAAATACTTGGTTCTTAGAAGACATTCAAAAGAAAAAGATGGCAGATAATGTTCTGGCCTGGAGACTTAGGTCACTTGTCTCTATTATACATTATTGAGGGTGATTTACAAAAAGAGCATGATTATGTAAAATGCAATTGGCAGATGACAGTTTGTATTCACTACATGCGTATGCTTGTGTTATTGTATTTTGACCACAGACAGTCCTAATAATAAAATGCAATAATAAAAATGATGTAATTTATCCTTTAAGACATGATCTGCAATTGTCCAAATATTTTTGGCAACTGTCTATTTAGCTGCCTATTTTGCTTATCAGTTTTGATATTTCTTTCTTTTTCACATTCTAGAAATTCAGAAGACGGGTGCAAGAATCTACAAAGGTTCTGCGTGAACTGGAAATATCACTGCGAACAAATCACATAGGGTGAGTAACAGGAAATTTTCCTTAAAGGGGGCCATATAAAAATGTTATTTTGTCATCACAGTTCGCCTGGTCGTAGTTTAGTGTTTTTGTGAGTATATCTCATATACAGATTAATACCTGCTCTCTTTAGTGATTGCATGTCTGACATTTTAGTCAGGATCCCCACTAAATGACAGGTTAAACTGCTGGATAGCGTATATTATCAGGGTAAGTGTATTAATAGCGCTCCGTCCATAGGCTGGCACTGAATTGATTATAGCATAAGCTACCATTACTGCTTAACAGTAGGCAGAACATCTTTGTATGATGAACGCTTATGGTTTCCTTTCTGTAAATCTTTATAAATAAAAGACAGCACAAGTTGCAAAGATTATTTGCAGGGATTTAAGGTGATAACATTCACATATACACCTAATTACTGCTTTCTAGCCTTTAGGTTTAGGGAATTTGTCAAGACAGAAACATAGTAGCTGCCATTGCAAACTTGTTTTAAAGGTATTCTCTTTATCCTTGCACCACTACTGAATCACTGATCTGGACCAAGTGCTACGAGGCCACATACTTATTTGAGATCTTACAAAACAGAACATGAGTGTAACAGCATTGTTAAAAAGTAATTCATAACAATAGTCCCTTTTATTATTTTGACAATTCTGTTTTAATCCAATATATCTGAGAAAATTTGGATGTACAGTTGTCATTCTATACTGGAATCTGAGTTGACTGCTTATTGTGTGAAACCACTGCTGGGAATACTGCCATGGTGCTTTACTTCTTCCTAAACTAGAATTATGATAAATTGGATGTTGCCTAATCTTTGTGAATATATTATTTTACTTTAACGCCAAGGAAATGATAACGAACCAACCTCTAGTAGAATTCCAAATTGGTTTCCCGTGTAACATCTTTTCTTTTACTTAAACTATCCTGCATTCCCTGTGCAATAAAGATCTGTGTACTTCCCTTTTTTAGTCCGCTCCAGGTCTGGTCATATGATCCTCCAGCTCCTCCCTTGTGTCAGTGAGCAGCTGCTGCAGGGGAGAGGAAGAAGCACAGACAATGGCTGGGCCACGAGGATCTGTGGGGGATGTCATGGCTCCCAGAATTCAAAGTCATTGTCAAGCACTCCCTTACAGATTGAAGTCGGAGCTGCAAAATCACATGACTGGTCTGTATTAAAAAAGTGTATAAAAAGAGATCTGTATACTTCCCTTTTTTTTTTAGAGTATTTAGAATAGATAGGAGGATGGGGGAAGGAACGTTTTTAAGAATAGTTAGTGTTAGGCTTCACTTCATTTTATGTGGAAATTAAAAGAATAGTTCAGCTTTACCAAAAAATCTGCCTATGCAGATAAGAGATGTCTGTAAATAAAAAGAAGCCATGCAGCTTTGACCAAAATTGAATATTGCCTCTTGCTATAGGTGTAGGCATTTACATACCTCATGAAGCCTGACCAGAAAACTCCTAGGATGTTGCTAGCACATTGCTAAACGAGCTATTACTACTCACCATTGCCATCACAGCAGTGAGATCATTCTCTAATTCAAATCCATCACATGAGCTTTCTCTCAGCTGATGCAGTAGCTCTGAGCTCAAAGTTTGAGAGCTCACTCCCGTGATGGTGAAGGTGAACAATAATAGGTGGGCCCTCCGTTAGGAATGTCCTGGCAGTTTTCAGGTCAGGGTTCTTGGGGTATGTAAATGGCCTACACCTACAGCAAGAGCATTACTCAACTTTATTCAAAGATGAACAGTTCGTTTTTATCTTTAGATGCCCTTTATCTGCATAGGCAGTTTTTTGGTAATGGTGAACTATTCCTTTTAGCTGTTGTCTCGTATAGTATAATTTAGCTTGGAGAGGTATAGGTGCTAGTGGTACAAGTAATTTGTCCAGAACTTTCCTGAGTTATCAGTTTCTAGATTAAATCATAATCACATGCATGCATCTGAAGATGAGCTGCATGACATGAAAAGCCAGAGAAGTGAGACTGAAAGAGGGCTCTATTTGAGATTGCTGCAAGAGACTGTCACCTCCTCTACTCCTCTGTGCACGCTGTCACAGCCTCACTCCTCTGTGTGCTTTATTTGTCATGCCCCCTTACTTCTGTGTGCACTGTCACAAAACAACTAATTGTGTTCATCTCCTTGTGAACAGCATGGTCGATCAGCAGTGGGGGGGGGGGGGGGGGGGGGGGGGGGGGGGGGGGATTACATGCTGAGAGTCCTTAGTTTTTAATTTTTCTTTTAATTTATTTTATTTATAGTTGGCAAAGAAAAAGCTATACAACCATCAAACCAATTCCAATGAACAGGGTTACGGGATTCCGTAGTACAGGAACCAGGATAGTCAGGAACAATTTGACAATATCATTTACATAAAGTGGATTACATATCTAGTAACTGCCTGTGGACAAAAGCTCTGTGTTTGATGTCGTAAATTGGTTCCCCGTGGGGGGGGGGGGGGGGTACACACAAAAGCCCCACTGAAAATATTTAGTGTTTTAAGTGACAACACAAACCTAACAAAAAGAGAAGGGGGGGGGGGGGTTGTTGGGGTGGAGGGGGTGCTCCGCCTCCCTAGTCCACTACGGAGAAGGGATCTGAAGCCAGGAGATCTTTGTACACCACAGAGTGTTGGAACTGGATCTAACGGGGGGGGGGACGGGACAAAAACAAGCCCCCACCCACTGAAAATATTTAGTGTTTTAAGTGACAACACAAACCTAACAAGAAGAGAAGGGGGGGTTGTTAGGGGGGGGGGGTGCTCCGCCCCCCTAGTCCACTGCCGAGAAGGGATCTGAAGCCAGGAGATCTTTGTACACCGCAGAGTCGCAGAGTGTTGGAACGGGATCTAACGGGGGGGGGGGGGACAAAAACAAGCCCCACAGAAAATATTTAGTGTTTTAGGTGACAACACAAACCTAACAAAAAGAGAAGGGGGGGGGGTTGTTAGTGGTAAGAGGGGAGGGGGTGCTCGCCCCCTGGTCCACTGCCGAGAAGGGATCTGAAGCCAGGAGATCTTTGTACACCGCAGAGTGTTGGAACGGGATCTAACAGAACCATGTTTTACGGAAATGTTCATCTTGGTGGCGCAGGGAAATAGTGAGGTCTTTCATAGTGTTAATATCATTTACTGCTTTGATCTACTGACCAATTGAAGGAATCTGTTCAACTTACAATTGAAAGGAATGCAGGACCTAGCGGCATTTAGTAAATATATTACCAGAGATCTACGGTATTTCCACCATGATAATGTGCTAAGATGTAGCAGACACACTGCTGGATCATTTTTTGGGGAAAGGCCTGTGAGATCAAGGATCACGGATCACCGCATATACCTTAGACCAAAAGGGGCAGATCTTCGAGCAAGTCCAACATATATGGAATAGTGTACCCTCTGGGTCTCCACATCTCCAGCAGTTAGGGGAAACTTCTGAAAACATTTTAGTTAATCTGGCTGAGACCCTATACCTCCAAGCGTGTATTTTGCAACCAGATTCTTAGAGTCTAGAAAAAATAGATTTATGGGCGAAAAAGAGAATGTAATCCTTGTGTTCTGGAGAGAAATGTTGGTAGACTGTTATGTAGGGGGGTACATAATTCTCAGGAGCATCATTGAGTGCTGCATATGCCATTGATAGGCTACTGCAGAGCATCCTATCCTACTAAACACAGTATGGAACTGAAAGGGAACAAGTGCTATATGCACTTGATCCCCTGTGGGATTCTGGTGATTCTTCTTCTTTATGCTCATTGTAAGCCGCGTTCCAGGTCTTGGCTCTTCTTTCTATGTTTAATTTGACAAAAAAGACTGCATACATTGATGTCTCCACCTGAAATCAACCTTCCTTGCCTTGTTTCACCACTGCTGCTTTCCTTGCAAGGATAGGGGGAGTCCAGCAAGAAGAGCTAAGTTCTGGCGTGCAACTTACATTTTTAATAATCTATGTATTGTTATTCTGCTTTTCACATCAGTTTGATGACTTCACAGATAACCCATAAAATGTATTGATCTTTTTTACTGTGGTTAACAAGGGTAGTAAATTGCCTCCTCATTTTCTTTTCATTTGCTTTGAGCGGAACTATTGATTGTAAAAGTTGTTTGGCTGCTGTTTATTGAGTAGGAATTAGTCATCAGTTAGCTGTTAGTGAAGTGTAAAAGCCTACAGGAGGTAGGAAACATTGTGTATTGACCTCAGAAGAAGAATCCTCAAACATTCGACTTTTCATTTTGGTGCCTGGCTGCTGGAATGGTGTCGATTTTATAATTCATTTGCTTTGTTTTGCGATACATTTTCTAATGAACTGTTTAAAGGACATGTCCAGTGTGTTTCTTGTCCTCACATATTTATAGTTTTTATTGCAGTGTTTGATAAATTAAGTAAATTTTCAATGTAATTTTAAAGAATAACTCTAGGATAGGCAAACACCCCCCCACTCATTAGTACAACCCCCCTACATTAAACAGTTGATAACATTTTGAAAACCCTTACCATTTAGGAGAAAAGTTTAATTGAATTTTCATGACTTTATCTCTGTATTTCAAAAGATAACTGCATCTGCTCTGCTAAGAAGTAGGTGTAACAGCAGGGATTACATCATATCTTCTCCTCTGTCTGCAGTAAAAAGAAAACTACAGTTCCCATCAACCACAGAAAATTGTAGTGAATGTTGGTGGGTACACTAGGACTGTACATGTTGAATATATGTGTCTGGGAGTCTGAGAGTCTCGGTTCACCCACCACTGCAAGTGGGACTGTATTACATCCCTGCTTCCTGTACATAGAACTACAGATGGGATGTGCCAAGACCAGTGGCTGGGGGAATAGGAGGCATAGCATCCACTGGTCTTACAAACAGGAAACCAAAGAGAATTAATGGTTTAATTTGAAAATGGATAAGCTATTTTTAGAGCAACTACTGAACAAACCAGAAGATGGATGACATATTCAGTGAAGGTCGAAAATCAGCAATAAGGACAGGAGTAATGCTTTAACAA